CCTGGCTGAGTTGCTGTTGTTCCCAGTTGCTTCCACTTTTTTATAATCCCAGTAACAGGTGACCGCGGAATATTTAGTAGCCAGGAAATGTCACGGAACACCTGAATCCAATTATTTGGAGGGGGAGGGGCCCAATACTTTTGGCAATATAGTGTATTTGGTAAATGAATACAAAAATGTAACATTGTATGATTTGTAGCGGACATGTTTTTTGTATTTTTTTAAGGAAAAGAATATTAAATATTCCAAATAATAAGATTCCTTCTCTGTACTATACACAGTATTCTACTATACAGATCAGCTGTGACATTGTTGTGAAATGTTTCTCAACCTTCTAAACTTTCATGTGAAAATGTAATTTCCTTTTGTTTGCATTTCAGTATAAAACATCCATACTGTACCTCCAGGGGGGCGGCCGGGAGATCAGACAGGAATTTAAAGAAGAACTCTCCATCTTCCCTCTGGTTGTAGAGATCCAAGGCCTCTCTGATCCATTCTTCCCGATCCGGAGACTGAGAGCGAGCCGCCTGCAATGTGAGAGCGGAGATCCATAGCGCACACTGCCAGACCTTCATCTTGTGGCTTCTAGTGGGACGGTTCTGGATGTGTCTTGTGGCTTCTTCCTATTACATCTGCTTAATGCCGTCTTCTTGTGATGCCTCTGTAGTTATATTTCCACATCTCCAGTTGTGGGTGGAAGATTGCAGCCACCTTCCAGAACAGAGACATTGTGTAACTTGTTTGTTTATAACCAGTAAACCAAACAATGAGAAGATGGAGGGGACGGCATTGGCGTTCCTTAACTACAAAGAATGTAACAAAAAATGCAAACTAGAAATCCGGGCAGCTAAAACTGAGTGCGAAAAGCATATCGCTGCAGATAGTAAAAAGAACCCCAAAAAATTTTACCAATATATTAACAGTAAAAAGGTGAGAAAGGAGCAGATAGGCCCAATAAAGGATGAAAGCGGGAAGCTAGTCACAAACAACTATGTAACTATGTATCTATGTAACTATGTCTAATGTATCTCTGCAATACATGCACGTGACTACAGATCCCCTCCACTCTTTTCTGTAACACCTCCCAACCCCTCAACCCTATAACATAAGCTGGTGATAAAGAAGAATAATTGTTATGAGATCTACTAATGACTAAAGTGACACTAAACTCCGGAGTTCAATCTTACAAATACATTCAAGTCCCTGAACTCTGAACAACAATGTATCTTATTTGTGATATCACTCTATCACTCTAGGCTGTAGGTTCTCCAATCATCTCTGAATTGGTTTATGCAATTTAGTTGCGCTAGGAGAGAGAAAAAGCCGGTCACCAGTAGTGATGAGCCGAACACCCCCATGTTCGGTTCTAACTCGAACTTAGAACTCAATGCAAGATTTAATAGTGATCTTATAAGGCTAATATGTTGCGCTTAGTGTTGGTTTCCTCATATATATCTAAAACTCTGTGGAGTTATGTGATATCACTGTGATGAATACATGAATAAATGAATAATTAATGTGAATGTTATAAAACCGATGTGGATGAATACAAAATAAAATTAGTTTAGAAATACAAATTATATTTGTGGTGGTGATATTTTTATCTGTACTTGTCAAATTAAATAAATCAATTTTAAACCTTAATTTCTAGTTTCTGTGATTTCTCAACACTGTGAGTGCTTCAAAAGTACGTGTGGCTAAATTCAGTACACCACAGTCGCCTAGATTTAATGTGTCTTTACATAGTGGGTATAGATTATATATATATATGTGCAAAATGACAATGTGTCCTTCTTATGTATCAGTGCAAGTGCATTTATCCACCAATTGTGGTAGCTGCAATGAAACATCAAATCGAAATATTAGTGCAAAAAATAAGTGTTAACGTGAAATAATCCGTTTGTGTATTTATAGTAAAAGCCGACTTTTTATTCTATGAGGGGCCTGCCGGTCTTATGATAAACTCTCCTACAGAGGACTGGAAAAACAGCAAAATGGAATGCTAATGTTGTTTCCTTATTACCTCTTTAGTGGTTCAATCTCTCATACCAATTCCTTAATTTCAGACGTTATTTTCTCTCATCAGATTGTATAGAGAGAAACCAAACGCATTCAATAGAATCAGAACTAAAATAAATTCTATTGAATGCGTTTGGTTTCTCTCTATACAATCTGATGAGAGAAAATAACGTCTGAAATGAAGGAAACATGTTCCCATTTTGTGTTGTAAATTAGTTGTTTTATGTGGATAATTAATGACAGTATACGAGGCATTAGTGTACAGAAGTCATGTTCTTAGAAGAGAGCCCACAGAACGGAACAGGAAACGCATCACAGGATACAAGTGCCACAGAGATGAATCATAGAGTTACATATAAACTAAACATAACACTCATAACATCTCCCTCTTTTAATATTAATAAATAATCATTTTGAAATTTGGATGAATCCTTGTAATAACACATTTATAGGTTAAAGGAGAACTATGAGGGGGGGGGTGCTTTTCACTCAGCTCATAGTTCTAGCCGACCTGTGACAATGAGACTCACAGGTCGGCTCAGTAGATCAGGAAGTGAGCGAACACATACCGGCTTTCGCTCACTTCTCGATCCTGTCACGGCTCTCTGCCGTGACAGGGGAGGGGCTGGATTCCCCCCGCTCCGATCCGCCAGCGCTGACTGGCGGAACGGACGGGGGAGGGGGCGGGTACAGCTGGCTCTGCCTCTACATAGGCAGAGCCAGCTGTCACTCACGCAGCTGGGCGGATCCAGACATAATTGTCGGGATCCGCTTCAGCTGCGGCGTCTCAGTATACGGCGAGCTACTGCTCGCGGTATGCTGAGTCTAGGGTGACGGGAGGACGCTAGTTTGTGTCCTCCCGTTACCCTAAGGAGAACTATGGGGAAAAGCCTGAACCCCATAGTTCTCCTTTAAGTCTTTTGGGTGGTTGTGAATGTCTACCACTGCGGGTGAAGACTGGCCCTCGTTGTATAAAGAGTTTCTTAGCCCTCTCGGAGGTTCCTGGGCTCTTCTCACCACTGACTGCTCTGCTCTTCACTCCCGTCCGATATACCTGCCTGCTCTGGACTGTCATTAATATTAGTCTGTGGCATCACCTCTGTACATTCCCTACTGCCAATGGGTGAGTTTGCCTTTGCATTACCAGGCGAGTCTGGCCTGTCAACTAGATAATGTGAATCAGGCTTTTCAGGCACACTCAGATCCACACTAAAGCGACGATAGAGAAATATGTCAATGTCTACAAGATATTAGCGTGGTGCAACCTTTCGTAGACAAGTAGAACAGTAGAAAGGCATCATGGCACACTCACAAACCAGCATGTAAAACAACTTGTCTCACCACTAAGGACAATGACAGAGGTTTGGATACACGTCTTCTGCAAAGGATGTGTAAGCCGCACTGCCGCACCAAGGCACCTCTTATAGTGCGGTCCTAACTCTAAACTATGAGAGTCTCCATCTTGGAGCACATGGGGCAGAAGATATCAAATTGGGTGCAGGCCTGTCAGGAGGACGCCCCACCTCCTTAAAGGTACAGAAACACACAAGGGATCCCGCACATCCCATTGGCAGCTGAGAAACCCCATGCGTCGCTGCACCAAATCGGTAAAGCAAAACAAACGACAAACGCACTCAACAATTTGTTACCAGTTATACAGTAAGGTGCACACGAAATGGGCTTTGAACAGTAGAACAGTAGAAAGGCATCATGGCACACTCACAAACCAGCATGTAAAACAACTTGTCTCACCACTAAGGACAATGACAGAGGTTTGGATACACGTCTTCTGCAAAGGATGTGTAAGCCGCACTGCCGCGCCAAGGCACCTCTTATAGTGCGGTCCTAACTCTAAACTATGAGAGTCTCCATCTTGGAGCACATGGGGGCAGAAGATATCAAATTGGGTGCAGGCCTGTCAGGAGGACGCCCCACCTCCTTAAAGGTACAGAAACACACAAGGGATCCCGCACATCCCATTGGCAGCTGAGAAACCCCATGCGTCGCTGCACCAAATCGGTAAAGCAAAACAAACGACAAACGCACTCAACAATTTGTTACCAGTTATACAGTAAGGTGCACACGAAATGGGCTTTGACAAGTAGAACAGTAGAAAGGCATCATGGCACACTCACAAACCAGCATGTAAAACAACTTGTCTCACCACTAAGGACAATGACAGAGGTTTGGATACACGTCTTCTGCAAAGGATGTGTAAGCCGCACTGCCGCGCCAAGGCACCTCTTATAGTGCGGTCCTAACTCTAAACTATGAGAGTCTCCATCTTGGAGCACATGGGGGCAGAAGATATCAAATTGGGTGCAGGCCTGTCAGGAGGACGCCCCACCTCCTTAAAGGTACAGAAACACACAAGGGATCCCGCACATCCCATTGGCAGCTGAGGAACCCCATGCGTCGCTGCACCAAATCGGTAAAGCAAAACAAACGACAAACGCACTCAACAATTTGTACTTGTCTACTTTCGTAGACAAGTACACATTCGCCAACGACTTGTTCAATCTCCAGTCAGCGGTTTCATACGGATTCGTTCCCCGACATTCAATTCAGGCAAATCTCTTGCAGATGTGTCATATTGTGCCTTGAACACTTGCCTCTTAAGGTACCCCTTGTATCACAGATGTTTCAAGTAACTTGTTGGCTACAGGTAAGGAGGTATTTAATCTTCGTGACATCACTCTACTGTCATGGATACCGTCCAGGTGACCCCACACCTGCGCAGGTACCCACACAGGCAGACCAAACACGTGTGACCACACGGACCAGGCAAGTATGTTATATATGTATAGGTTGTTTAATATACACCGCAGACAAACAGCCACAACCAACAACAGGGCTCACAGGTAACAAGGTTCAAACAGGGTTCAGGACTCACAGGTAACGAGGATCAAACAGGGTTCAGGACTCACAGGTAACGAGGATCAAACAGGGTTCAGGAATCACAGGTAACAAGGTTCAAACAGGTTTCAAGACTCACAGGAAAAAATCAGGGTACAAGGTTCAGGACTGGTATCAGGACTCACAGGAAACAATACTGAGCCATCATCCTGACTGCAGGGAGGGTTTAAATACCCTCCCAGGAAGCACCAGGTGATGGCTAAGTACTGGCAGCTGGGGAACACCCGCAGGTGAGCACTGGAGCTGAAGGTCCCAACCCCACCCAGTGGTGGTCTGGTACCTAGCAGTTCCTGGATGCCTAGAGAATCCTACAGGTGAGCCCAGGAACTGCAGGGCTTAGCTCCAGTGCCACCTGGAGGCGCTCTGGATCCTAACAGCTACTATCCATGCCCACAGTTGGAGTGTTCCTCCATTGTAAGATGGCCTTCCACTGGTCTTTACCATCACTTTGTGCTTTCTTGCATACATTTTTAACGATCTTTACTGCGGATTCAGCTTTGCCGTTAGCCTGTGGATGATGTGGTGAGGAAGTTACATGCTTAAACTCCCATTCAAAGGCAAATTTTCTGAATTGTAAGCTTGAGAACTGAGGGCCATTATCAGAAATCACTTTATCTGGTTGGCCATGACGTGCAAACTGTGCCTTGCACCTCTTAACTGTAGTTTCTGTGGATAAGTCAGGAAGGAGTTCAATTGGGGAACCATGGGGAACAGACGTAGCCCCCCTCCAGAAGGAGGGACAGTGTCAGCACCAATTCAGAGATGATTGGAGGATTTAAAAACATGCAGCGATGCCTGTTTACATTCATATATCTGGCGGATCGCTTGTATAAGGTGTCAGTGTGTGCGCCTTCCGCCCCTCCCGCTGTTCCCGGCCTCCGCTTTGCCCGGTGGGTCAGAGCCAGCAGTCATGCTAAAAGGGTGATCACTCTTAAAGGGGGGATGTGTAAAACATTTTGCCTAAGAACAACCAGACCCTCCCCACTGACGCATTTCACCTGGAAAGGGCTTTGCTGTACCGATGAAATGCATCAGTTTGAGCAGGGTCTGGGTGGATCTTCTGTGTTTTATTGAACGCTGATGCCGTCGGAGTGTGGCCGCTCCCTCTGGTTGACCATATCCCAGATGTCAATAACAAAACAGTTCAGAGGCCAAAGCTTTCATTTTATTTGCGTCATGTGATACAATGTACAGAACTTTTCAGCTGAATTGTAGCGAAACATAAAGCATCGTATCTGACAAAGGAGCTACAAGAAAGTTTCAGGTGGAATGCCCCTTCAAGCGTGCGTTACTGCTGAGCGACATGCGATGATCAGAGATCGACGCCTTAGACGTAGCTGAATGATCCACGTTTCATAAGCAGCCTACAGCGATCATCTTTGCATTCCTTCTTACCCCTGGCTCGTTTGGTGTGAAAATTCTGAAAGAAATATGGAAGGGATCACACGCTGGTTTTATTTATATGAAATCTATGCAAGATTCACCCCAAAAAAAATGCAATAAGCTATAGCGGGATCGAGTGATAAATAATATAATGAACTATCCTGTATGATAATAATGATAATGAACTAAAAATATTCTGAAACTGCTCAGAGCTGCAAAGAGCTGTTATAGCGGCAAAGGGCGGAGCCAACCCAATACTGAACCCTACAAAATACGACCGGGATGCTATTAAAGTTCATGTGCGTATAAAGATCGGCGTCCCAATACTTTTGGTAATATAGTGTATATTAGCTGTATGCAGTGAGGTGCAGTGAGGTGCAGAGGAGGCGGCGGAGCCACACGGGAGTGCTACATGGTTGAATTTTTCTGCATGTCAGGGACTGTTGGGACCATGTGGAGGACATTTTATATGCATACTCCCTTCCCCACGCTTAAAGGGGACCTGTCTGTTTCATAAGAAATGACAGAGAAGATATGACATCGTAACATAAGATATGAATAATCCTGACTGGTGGTCGGTGTTACCTTGGTCAGGCCGACACATTTCAGAGTCTTCATGGTCTCCCCCTCAGCCGGGTACAATCCACAGACCTTCACCTCCTGGAAAATCAAATGCAAATATTCCATCTTAAAGGAAAGCTAACATGAGAGAAATACAGTGGCCTTCCGGTTCTTTCTAAGTTGCTAATGTGGAAATTACAGGCGATTGTGAAGTCAGAATTTATATGGGTTCCTCCTCCCAAAATCCATTACCAGACCCTTAGCCGAGCTTTCAGCCTGAGAGGCCAGGAAAGGAAGCGTGGGGTTAGCCAAGTGTGCAGTCCTTCCTCTCCTGTATCCTACCAAGCCACATGCCCTCAACATGGGGGCACCCCCTGGCAAAACACTGTGTACCCTTGTTGAGGGGGACAAAGTCCTCTTCCCCACAGCCCTGGCCTGGTGGTTGTGGGGGACCTCTGTATAAGAAATCTGGAAGCCCCCTTTAAGAATAAAGGGGGCTCCCAGATTCCACCCCAATGGCTCAATATTTGGAATAAATCTGGTCTATAAATGGCGGTTCTGGGTGGACAGTTGGATAAATGGCTCTATATTTAGGATGTATCTGGTCTATAAATGGCGGCTCTGGATGGACAGTTGGATAAATGGCTCTATATTTAGGATGTATCTGGTCTATAAATGGCGGCTCTGGATGGACAGTTGGATAAATGGCTCTATATTTAGGATGTATCTGGTCTATAAATGGCGGCTCTGGATGGACAGTTGGATAAATGGCTCTATATTTAGGATGTATCTGGTCTATAAATGGCGGCTCTGGATGGGCAGTTGGATAAATGGCTCTATATTTAGGATGTATCCGGTCTATACACTGACAGTTTTCAGTGACACCAACAATGAAACTCTTCCCTACTGTATTAAAAACAAACCAAACATAAGTAGTGGCCGGAGATATCCTATAAAATGTCTACGTTGGTGTATGTCCTCACCCCGTCCTTCTTGTAGTCACATTCCTCCAAGTTGATATCTTCAGATTTCAGGCATTCCGTCTCCTTTATTAAGAACGCGATTGTCGGATTGTTTTCCTCCTATATGGATAAGATAATATATTCTGATCTATAATAATATACAATATGTCCAGCGATCTTCTCTACGTCACTAACAAGCTGTAAACCATTGTGTATCATATGACATGGAAACACAATTCTGTCATAGTTACATGTGATATACAGGTGAAACTCGAATAATTAGAATATCGTGCAAAAGTAATTGCAGTAAGTGCTGCAAAAGGGGCCCAAACCAAGTACTGAGTACATATGCATGCTTGTTCTTTTCAGAGGTCCGATATTGTTCTATGTACAATCCTTGTTTTATAGATTGCATGTAATAATCTACTTTTTTGAGGTTGTGGATTTGGGGTTCTTGGGGTTTTCATGAGCTGTAAGCCATAATCATCACAATGATGACAAATCACGGCTTGAACTATCTTGCTTTGCATGTAATGAGTCTCATATATTAGTTTCACCTTTTAAGTTGCATTAGTGAAATAAATTAACTTTGCACGATATTCTAATTATTCGAGTTTCACCTGTATATTTGGTAAATGAATAGAAAAATGTAACATTGTATGATTTGTAGCGGACATAAATAGTTTTTTTAAGGAAAAGAATATTAAATATTCCAAATAATAAGATTCCTTCTCTGTATTATACACAGTATTCTACTATACAGATCAGCTGTGACATTGCCGGGAAATGTTTCTCAACCTTCTAAACTTTCATGTGAAAATGTCATTTCCTTTTATTTGCATTTATTTCCTACAAAGAGTTTTTCAGTATAAAACATCCATACTGTACCTCCAGGGGGGCGGCCGGGAGATCAGACAGGAATTTAAAGAAGAACTCTCCATCTTCCCTCTGGTTGTAGAGGTCCAAGGCCTCTTTGATCCATTCTTCCCGATCCGGAGACTGAGAGCGAGCCGCCTGCAATGTGAGAGCGGAGATCCATAGCGCACACTGCCAGACCTTCATCTTGTGGCTTCTAGTGGGACGGTTCTGGATGTGTCTTGTCTTGTGGCTTCTAGTGGGACGGTTCTGGATGTGTCTTGTCTTGTGGCTTCTTCCTATTACATCTGCTTCATGCCGTCTTCTTCTGATGCTTCTGTAGTTATATTTCCACATCTCCAGTTGCGGGTGGAAGATTGCAGCCACCTTCCAGAACGGAGAATTTCACATACATTGTGCAACTTGTTTCAGTAAACCGAAAAATGAGAAGATGTCTAATGTATCTCTGCAATACATGCACGTGACTACAGATCCCCTCCACTCTTTTCTGTAACACCTCCCAACCCCTCAACCCTATAACATAAGCTGGTGATAAAGAAAAATAATTGTTATGAGATTTACTAATGATTAAAGTGACACTAAACTCCGGAGTTCAATCTTAAAAATACATTTAAGTCCCTGAACTCTGAACAACAATGTATCTTATTTGTGTATCACTCGGCTGTAGATCCTCCAATCATCTCTGACACTGTCCTTCCTTCTGGAGGGGGGCTACGTCTGTTCTCCATGGTTCATGTGTGTGTTGTAAAGTAGTCACCGCTCCCAGCTCACTCCCGGGATGGACTACAGTCTCATGTTTAGTTTACTAGTTTGTATTGGGATCCCAGGAGCGAGCTTAGAAGATACACTCACCTGATCCTCAGTACTGCGGCAATGGCCGCTCACATCTCCCCCCCACCCCCCTCTGCTCAGTCTCCAACATCTAATGCAGGTGATTGGACTATATTAAACGAGATAATGTTAGCAGGGCTTAGACTGCTGGAGCCTGCGGAAGAAGAGACTGCAGGGACCAGTCTAACAGTCAGGTGGGCCTAAGGATCGGGTAAGTACTTCTTCTTTATTTGAGCCCCCATAAAGAAAAACAAACAGTTAACCGTTCCAGAGCAGCGGTAGCCCCAGTGCAAGGGTTCATTTTTCTAAAACCTTTTCTAAAAGTTCTTTAAATAAACATTTTTATTTTTGCTTTTACTTACAAAGACTGCATGGACCCTTCACGGCATAGGAGCCACCCTAGAACAGGATATCAGGACCAGTGCTCAGGGCACCAGCTGATTCTGCAGGAAACCAAAATGTTTGAACATTAAGGAGCAGCGCCTATTGTAAGTGATTTCCAGAAAGCTGGCTCCATGCTCCCGCACCAGCTGGTGATGAGGGAGCATGGAGCCGGCTTCCTGGCCAATCAGAAAGCTGGGCGACGTGTAATAACTTGTTCGTCAGGAAGTGGGCCAATCAGGAAGGAAGGCGGCGAGTCATTTCCCTGCCCCCCATCTTCCTGATTGACCAGAAAGCTGGCTCTATGCTCCCTCTTCCTCAGGAAAAAAGGGGGCGGGTAATAACTCGCCGTCTGGCTTCCTGATGGGCCGGCTTCCCAACCAATCAGGACGCTAGGCAGTAGACCATTACACGGCGCCCGACTTCCTGATTGGCCAGAAATCAGGCTCCATGCTCCCTTGTCACCAGGTGACGAGGGAGCATGAAGCTAGCTTTCTGGCCAATCAGAGGCTGCAAACATTTTAGAAGTGATTGCAGAGACATCGCCGCGATCACCTGTACACGTACGAGCGGATTCCCCACAAGGCAACTTCCCCGCCCGGAACTATATGTTCCGGGCGTTGCGGGACTCCACACCGCTGCCGCCCCTCTGCGCCCTGCCGCCCCGAGGCCGGGGCCTCGGTGGCCTTGTGGGAAATCCAGGCCTGCCCTCGTCACCTGGTGATGAGGGAGCATGGAGACGGCTTCCCAGCTAATCAGGAAGATGGGCGGAGAGTCACATTGTGAAAGTAACAGATATTGTTACACGGATAAAATACCTTGCGATTGAATAATATTCAGTGGTGTCACTTTGTAGGAGTCGTCATATATTTTCATTACATATTTGTAAAAGTTTTTATATGCGAAAAGTTTTTGTACAACTTTGTTATTTTCAGCCCCGGATCAAAAACAGTACTTAAAGTGACATTAAACCAATACTGTATTATGCGCCTTACTGTAATCCATGGTAGTTTCCCTTCTCTTTGCTGCTCTTCCTTTTAAATCCTCATGTCTTCTCATGCTCTGCAGAACTTCTGTTTTGCAGCAGACTGCCTTGTCTCAGGAATGGATAGATGGTGTCTGTGTATACGTTTGTATAGGCTTGTAACCTGAGCCAGCACTACAGGAAGAGGCCCTGAGCTGCAAAGGGAAGTTCTCCCCAAGCATGAGAAGACATGAGGATTTAAAAGAGCAGCAAAGAGAAGGGAAGCGATCATGGATTACAGTAAGACGCACATTACAGTATTGGTTTATGTTAAAAAATCGGAGGGTTTAATGTCACTTTAACCCTATCTTTAACTATGCCCCTTTAAGTCCCTCCCACTGCCAATGCCATTTGACCACAGCCACTATTCAATGCGGTGCACTACATGTGCACCCCATTTCTCTTCTTGCAGTGCTCCCGCTCTTCCACAATCCTACCAACGCCCCTGGTGTGAGAGAAGAGTTCGGTCTCTCTTTGTCCTTTAAATGTTTCCAATTCATCTCCGCAGACAAAGTGACATCACAGAAATGATCACAGTACACAGATCGCAGCCTGAGCTGATCATTTTATTCCCATCGTTTTATACAGAGCTGAGAATGTTTGGCCGCATTGTAACAGAATATAAGAATGATACAAGACAATGAAAGCGCAATATAGATATACAGTACACCTGAGCAAGGCTGTGCACATTGGAGTGACCATGTCAGGGTAGTTTGGCTGTAAGCGGGGCTCTTGCTCGGCGCCGTGATCAGAGAAATGGGGCATTTGTAGAATAGAATTAAAGCAAAACATCGTCATTCTCAAGTCCAAATACAAAGTTATTCCAATGATAAATTGTTTTCAAAGCCAAAGCGTTTCAGGGGGCTGTAACTCCGCCCCCTTCATGAGGGCTGCTTGAGCCGGCTGCTGATATATTGCGGAGTAAACTCTCAATAACATCCAACTATAGAGTAATTATTGAGTCCGCATACATTGTTTCATTGTTTTCCTGATGAAGGGGGCGGAGTTACAACCCCTGAAACACGTGGGAGTTATCATTGGAATAAACGTGTCTTTGGACTTAGAAGTTACCAGCCCAGTTATTCAGATTCTCTGTATTGTCACTAATACTGTAATATGGGGTGACAACGATGATACAAAGTAAACGTATAAAGAATCCTCAGGGTTCCGGCGTCTCTTACGGGGCATTTTTAGACCGCGATGAAGCGAGATAACGTGTTGCTGCTGTCTCTTACAGGCCGGCAATTGGGCTATTGGATCCACGACAGAATATTCCTCTGCAGGGCGGTCTTCTATTCGCCCGTTTAACACGTGAACTCTACAAAATGGGAAAAGAAAAATTGACACAGTATATCTTTATTTATAACAAACACAAAATTCAGGCCTTGTTCACAGCTAGGCCACAGTGTTTTTGCGCGTTTTAATGCGTGTTCGTGATGCACATTTTTTCGCGTTTTATGCGAATTTTATGCGCATACAGCGTTTTTGCAAGAAAATTTTAGCTCATTGATCTTAATGAAAACGTGCGAAAACACAGCAAACAGGCGTTTTCAAGCGTTTCCTATTCAGTCTATTGGGCCAAAAAGAGCTGTAATATGCCAAAAAAAACTAAATCTCCTGTACTTTTTCCAGTGACAGGCGTTTTGCTTACTGCGACAAAACGCTCCGATGTGAACAGGGCCAAAGAAATGAATGGGATTTTTTTGGAGCAGTTTTTAGGGCTAAGAAAACGCTACAAAACGCTCAGTGTGAACCAGGACTCAGTGATTGGTTTAGTGGACTTTTAAGGATTAGTTTACCGTAAACTTAAACCAGGAATCACTCGCACAAAAATATTTCTGGTCTTGAGTTCCCAGTTCCCCCCATCCCCCCATTGTTCTATAGATTTTATGGGGCGGAAGGGGTTAAGAAAACTATGTTTTATTTTTTATTTTATTACATGTTTACAATTTTGGTTTTAAAGATTTATAGCAATGTGTATTCAGAAACATTCTGCAGAGCCAATTTGGAACTGCGTGTACATTGATTCTCTGTGAATGGAGGCAAAAACGAATGTTGTTGGGATATTTTCATTCGGGGTTGAATGTATTATCAGGAAAATACAACATTGTGTCCACTAGATGGAGATGAAGAGCATAGGGATAAAGATACGACAGCATGGGCCTTCCTGGCTCATGACTTTCCAATTTCAGACTGTCTGAGGCCCCAATAACAAATTTGCTGCACACGTGAAATCTTGCCAAATTCTGTGTGCGTTCACACACGTCTGTGTCACACTTGTGGTGCCATTGTTTGTTATTGTTCGGTAATAATACTCCATATGCAGCAAGACCCACATCCTGGTGCACTTGGCAATGTGCATCATGTGGTCAATAAACAAGCAAAGCTCCGATCTCAAGCTGCTGCTTGTGCCTGGATGCCGAGTTTGTCGCCCATTGAAACCTGCGATGATGTGTGACAAATGCAGCGAAATACGTTGCTCATTCATGTGCGTGCCGAGCGTGACTGAGGCCTCATAGGAATAACACCGGAAAAGAAACCTGATTGTTCCAGCTTCATAGATCACCTTTCTATCATAACACTGCTCACCTTCAGCCTTCTCTTTCTTTATATTCGCATGGTTAGCTTCCTGTACCACACTTCCTGTCCTAGGGGAACAACGACCACTGACTCTGCGGAGGAGCAGCCTTGTCATCCTAGGACAGGAAGTGTGTTAGGGCTACAGAACACCTCCCCCTGTCCACATCATCATATAGGGCTGCCACCTTTTCTTCAAGTGAAATCCAAACACTCCAATGCTGTACAGCAATCTTTTTTGGAGAATATACAGAGAGAGGAGAGACAGCCAGGAGAGAGTGAGGAGAGACAGCAAGAACGGAGAATTTCACATACATTGTGCAACTTGTTTAATTGTTTAGCTTCAGTAAACCGAAAAATGAGAAGATGTCTAATGTATTTCTGCAATACATGCACGTGACTACAGAACCCCTCCACT